AACCCCCGTTGTCCACTCATTTTGCCTTATATCCCTATTCAAAGCTTCCAAAACCAATATAAACATTTGTGGAAATAATGGGCACTTGTTATGTTCCTTTCTGAATTTCACAGGATGATGTTAGATTTCCATTTACACTTATTGATTTAATTCCAGCTGTTCACCAGAGCTATTGACATTTGGTACACCCCACTTCCAACTCAGGAAGTTTCTTGCTTTGTTGTCCTTTATTTCTAAAGAACAAAAGTTTTTTTTTATTCCAAAGGCGGAGGCTGTTGGGAGAATATAATTTTTCCAGGCTTCCCACTGAAGATGTGTATTGAAACTCAGATGCTGATAGTATTCCCACTCATTAGTCTTAAAATCTATTATTGCACTGAGGGTTGTGGCAGGAAGAAACCAATTTTAATAAATTAGAATGAGTAGAAATAAAATATTGAGAATTCGCTTGGTTTTTTTTATTAAAAACATGGATGAAGAGGTTTTTACAAAGACTATCTTCTGTAAAGGAAACTGAACCAGAGAGAGAGCTTAAGATAGAACAGTCTAAATGAAAAAGAAACAAAAAGGCTAGATCAAATTTATTGACAGGTGACAATAACCTAGAAAATTAGCTCTCATGAGCCAAACATACCCTTCTGAGATTCGAACCTGGGCTGCTTGCACGTTAGGCAGCTGTGTTGACCTCTAGGCCACAGGCTCTTTCTCACTTTGTCAGCTGTGTCAGGGAGGGAAGAGACAGGGGAGGAGAATTACCTTGAGTGTTTTTTTGATGCACCCTGTCGGCCCAAAATCTAAGGGACTGGTTTGGACAAAACTCAGCAGCACTTTTTCGTGCAGCTGCTGATAAAAACAGGATCGCCAACATGATCGCCAACATCTGATAACAGATATGGCCCAAGAAGAAGAAAAAAGTAAAAACCAAATAACCGGCGTTACTGTTTTATATAAACTTGTAATTTAATATCCCCAGCAATGTTATATTGTTGATTACAGCTTTGGCCCATTATTAGCTTACAGCAAAGCAATACTCTCCTTTGATCCTTAGAAATAGGACATTGTTCACTTTACAACACCACTTCAAAGAGGCACTTTAAGAAAGCTTTGATAGAAATAGAGCAACCCTCCAAGAATTACAATTTTAATGTATGTTGGTACTAATATTTCTAAGCCCTGTGCTGCTGTGCTAGCCATTAGATATTCTATTCACATGCAAGGAAACTTCCTTCACTATTGGTAGACAACTAACATGCTAGAATATTCTCTGATTTGGGGATTTTCTCCATTTCTTATAATGTGTAGTGTTCTCTACCATATATGAACCACCGTTCCCAATATCTGCTGTACCATTTTCACTGACATATAAACTTTGTGTTGCACAAAATGAAACCACCAGAATTCTAAAAAAATGCAGTAATGCTACATTTTATGTGCTTTAATTGTCTGATCCTTGATTTAAATTTCTAGCCCTCTCTGAATTTGAAAGGACTAATAAAACATATATAATTGATCTTCTCATCTGGAAGCAGAAGTGTTAAGGTGGAAAAGACTCATATTTCAGAATGTTAGTAGTAGAGTATGATACACAGGTAGTCCTCGACTTAACAACAGTTCATTTAGTGATCGTTCAAAGTTACAACAGCACTGAAAAAAGTGATTTATGACTGCTTTTCACACTTAAGGCCCTTGCAGTATCCTCATGATCACATGATCAAACTTCAGATGCTTGGCTACTGACTCATGTTTATGATGGTTGCAATGTCCCACGGTCATGTGACCACCTTTTGCAACCCTCTGACAAGTAAAGTCAATGGAGAAGCCAGATTCACTTAACAACCATGTTACTGATTTAACAGCTAGTGATTCACTTAATAGCCGTGGCAAGAAAGGTCGTAAAATGGGGCAAACTCACTTAACCACTGTCTCACTTAACAACAGAAATTTTGGGCTCAATCGTACGATGAGGACTCTCTGTATAAACTAAAGGAGGAAAACCGTCTGAAAAGTAATTAAAATTGCACTGCTTTTAAATGTGGAAGTATGCAGGCGTTTCAGCTTTTTCTTTTCTGTGCCTCTCATCTGCAGTTACACACGACAAAGGGCAGCCATAACAGGAGATGAACTTGATGTTCCTGTTCGTCATCTGTACATTTGGCAAGAATTCTATTTAATATTTAAATCTATGGTACAGAACCCACCACACCCTTTCTTGGGATCTCCAGAGTTACAGTACCACTAATGAAAGATGCCAGAGTCTGGATCTCACATTTTTCTGCGACTTTGAGGCAGGAGATCTGAAATATAGTACAAGCCCTAAGATAGGATTAATATGATTATTTTTTTTTGAAATATAGAAATCCAAACTCCTTTAAATTTGCTATTCAAGCTTTTTTAAACATCTAAATCCAAAAATAGCTTCTGTCAATAATTTATCAACACATATTTTTAAACCGTGACATGACATTGCGTATTGAAGATTTCCAATTTTCCCTCCCCGGTCCCATTCCTCCAATGTGTAGAGAAATCAGATGGTGATAATTATTTTATTATACATTTACTTGATAAATTTTCTATCTGGGAAGTAGGTCATACACTGTAATATTGCCACAATTTATAATTACAGGATTACAATGAATTCTTATATTAAAGCCTGGCTTTCTGGCTTTTATACAAATTGTGTGATATTTCCCAGTCTAATCTGAGCCTTTGTTATCATTAAGTTATGACTAAAATAATATTCCACATATAACTGATATCTGATAGTTGATACAACTTTTGTCTGTGAGATACAGTACAATATTTAAAAAGGAAGATTTCATTAAAAGAAATAAGCATTACAGATACATAATTTTCTTTGTCCATCGATGAAAGTCCCAGAAGCTGACAAAGTACAACTCAAATGTATATATTTTAATATCTGTGGTGTTTCATATCATATTTGCATCAAAAATCATCTTGTAAAAACAAAATTATATGAAAATACATTCAAAGATTTAAAAATATAGGAAAATATTCATAAAGTTCAAAAGATTAACTACAAGACTCTTTGATCTGTTTCAGTTAAGAGGGTGGAGAAATTAATACAACTTGTTATATCAATATTAATTATCCATTCGTTTCCTTACTGCACAGTAAATTCTTTACAACAAAGCAAAGAACAAATACACATAGGATCAGTTCTTGAATACATCTGATTTGATAACAGCATCCCTTTATAATCTAATCCAAAATTTAAATGCCAATCTAGGATATCTGTTGTTTCTAAGATGCTACTATGGCTAGAAGGCATCTCTTTAATTCCAGAAAACCTGAAACATGAATCCTTTTGTCTCACTCAAAAGCATGACTGCATTTTCCTTGTAGATGTAGCAGTCCTATATAGTAGCAAAGTTCTGGATTGGATTAATTTTTTTAAAAAAAATCAATGAATATATTTCCATGTAGGTTTGGATACTTCCTGTATTAATTTTATCTAACTGTGAAATATGTCTAGCTTGGGTGGGAGGTGGAAACTCAGAAGACTAAACATAGATCTCTTTAAACTGATTTGATTCTATTTTTAATGGCTTCCTTTGGCAATGAGGGGACAGTGATAAAATAATCTTCCTTTACATGAGCAAGTTGTTTTAGTTAAGAAAAATACAGACCATCCCCTCTAGCATAAGCACCAACAAAAGGAAACAAAAAGGGGAGTGTGGATTTATTCCAGGAAATAGATTGGCTAATATTACAAAGATCTGGCCTTCAATACTCTGATATTAGTTCTAATGTCATATCAGCTTTCATTTTAAATATTAAAAAAAAGATAGGGGAATAGCAGGTAGGGAGATAAAGCAGACATCAGACAGTTGAAAAATGTAATATTCATAGGTTCCATGTGCTTAGATATTTTAAAATTAGAATTCAGCATGCTTAACTTTTCTCTGGATTACACAGTTCAAGAGACTATAAAGCAACTTCTACCCAAATGGACACCATTATTCTTCCACAATAATATATATAAAGGTATTATATGCTTTGTATCCAGAGCACTCTGAGCTCATATTGGCTATATTAAATATGAAAAAGGATCTAGAATTCGTATCACGAAATATACATACAATTAAATTATTATGCTTACAAAGGACACCTATTTTCTCCAAGCTTTATATGAACATCAGAAAGTATTTGGTTATGAGTTTTAAGTAATAAATGTTAACATAAATATATACTTTATAGTCAGCATGGATAGACGAGGCTTATTTATTCACAAAAAGCTGATGGATGATACCACCTTAAAATGTAGGTTGATAGTTACATAACTGACTCTCCTCACACAGGTGGGGGGGGGAAAGTCCTGCATTTCAGGAAGAAAAGATCCATGTCTAATTCTCTCTCCTGTGTTTTTGTGGAGTGCTTTCACATGGAGAAATATTATGACATGTAAAACTGTACTAGGGGACTAAAGAAAAAAAGTTGCAAGTACAGTTGAATATAAGACTGTCCACTCTCAAAATGTTTACCTGGTAAATAAAATCTTTCTGCAGCTATAGTTCTTTCCTTAACTATAAATGTGGATGTTGCCAATTTTAAATTAAGGCTGTAGCAAAACCAGTCAATGTAATCTAAGGCTTAAAATATGTATCAATGAGAACATTGAGTTTTCATCTGTTCAGTACAAAGTAAATTAATTCAGAGAAATCCTTGTGTTACACCAAACAAAAACAAAACAAAACCAAAAAACAGAATTAAAACCCTGCACACAAATGCAAAACCTTTCCAATAAAACTGTATGTGAATTTTAATAGCTAGCCCAACATCTTGTGATACAAGAATAAGGTTAACACCTACTCTCAGATTTGCCAATTACATCTTAATAATTACTTCTTTTATTAGACTGATTATATGAACGAAAGCAAAAAGCTATGCATTGTTAAGTACAGGCATCCAGGGGCAAATTAATTTCAATGCTAAAATAAAAATTAAGTTGCTCAAATAAAACAAATGCCAATTATTTTAAAAGTCAGAAGCATTTATTGTTTTCAAACTGGGTTGACTGCAGTTTATCTGCTTTAGCAAAAACCCCAAGATGAAATAACCCACCATGTTCCTTTTAAATAAGCCACAGTAGTTTGTTCCTTCATGTACCAAGAATGTCTCAAGGCAAACGTGTCCTCGTAATTTCAGAGTCACAGAGTCCATCTTCTTGAAGACAGGGCTCATAGTCTCCAGCATTATTTGCCAAGTCAATATCTGGCTCTTCATTGCTCTCAGCACTATAGTCCACTTCTTCAAGGAAGCGAGGTTCATCTTCTTCTAGAACATAAGTAGTGGGGCTACACGCAAACATGTTAAACACTATGGTTAGTTAAAATGGAATGTAATTCACAGGAAATGTAACCACTTAATATAGATATCATTCAGTATTTACAAATTATTCCTAACGTTTAATTTTTTTTCTCCTCAGATAGGAATGTCAAGTTTGGGAAAATAACATTTATATACTTGTCTACTGAAGATCTGTACAACTGTATGTTTTATGCTGAATTCCACCAATTAATTTAAAAAAAAAAACTAACACTGAGGATTACTAAATACAACTGAACTTTAGAAAGTTAATCAAAATGTTTTTTCAATAGCGCCAATTTCTTTCCCAGTATTAGGCTTTTTCTTCAGGCTGTAAGAGAAAATAAATTTTATAGAAGAGGAATTATTGTAAAAGCTGATTTAGCATATTGCAAAGTCATTCCCAACCTCCATCCCACCTCCCAAAGTTTATTCATTGGGAAAAAATAAAAATAATGCAGGAAGACAGAGACTGAGTTTGGTGTAGTAGTTAAGGCACCAGGCTAGAGACTTGGAGACCTAACATTATAACCTTGTCTTGGGAATGAAGACAGCAGGGTGACCTTGGGCCAAACACTGTCTTTCAATCCTAGGAAGAAAGCAATGGCAAATCATTTCTGAAAATCTTGTCAAGAAATCTGGAGGGACCGGTTTAGGCAATCACCAGGAGTCAACCCTGAATCAAAGGCATACACCCTCCCCCCCACACACACCCTCCTAATTTCATATTGCTATGCCTCCAAAACAAAAAGCATTAAAATATTTCAAGTGAATAAACCAACCCACTCTTCTCCAAAGCTTATAGCAAGATGCTCCAAAATGAAGTTCCATTTCAAAGCATTTTTGGCACCATTGACCTAACATTATATTTCATCAAAATTTATCTCAGCACTTCATTGTAGTGTAAACCCTAACCCCAAAAGCTGCAATCTTAGGTATTAAAGAGATTAAATAGAAAAAAATATATTGTATCTCACAAATTTAATATTTTAGAATTGACCACTCAGCTATCTAGATCAAAACAGTGTGTTTACTGCAACATAGGTGCTGACCATTCCTCACATGTATGCATAAACATAACAAAATTACAACATTAATCCCTTGGGTATATTTTGCAAGCAATACCTTGATTTCTGGATCCAGATTCCTATTTCATTATTTGGAGCTAATTTACAATAAAAGCTGCCTGCCACTATAAGTCTTTTTTTTTTTAATCCAAATAACCCTCTGGTAAAAAAAAATTTAATGATTTTTTTCTACCTTGTCACTTTGCAACTAGATTCAATCAATTCATTTTCAATGTCCAAAAGAGTAGATGGCAGATTATATTCCAGTGGTGACGTCAATTTTTTCAAACGCAATAAACCAGTACAGAATTTGGTTCCCATCTCTTCCAACTCACGTGTCCCAATTTGTAAGCCCTAATGAGAAAACATACAGCATTAAGCAGTTTAGTGCAATTTGCTTTCTCCACGTCTATAGTTCATTATTTACTCAAAACTTGTAACTGAAAGAAAAGAAGAGGTAGAAAATGATGGCAATATTTTTATACATTCAACTTCCTGCATAACATGGGAACATCTAGAGGGGGATTCTTTGTGAATTTAATTGGATGTGCTTCAAATCCACTCCAAACATAAAAAGTTGTGGACGGAAATGGAGGAATGGCATATGAATCCTTGATTCTCTGCCATATACACCTCAAATCAGCAATACTGCTTAATATTTCTCAGTTCCTTCTCCGTCCTTCCCCTGGCCTCCCATCGCTCATATGCTGCTTGCACTAACCTTCCCCTTAGCTTCCCATGAAGCCTGCACCGACCTTCCCAATCTCTCCCCTAGCTTCCTCCAGTGACTAATGCACAGCCTGGATCAGCCTCCCCCACCCTCCTGCAGCAGCACCCCCCCCCCGACCTCTTCCTGTTTAACTATCCATGCATTTTGAGCTTGCAACAGCAACCCGAACCACCCAGAATTGCCATCATTAAGTGATACAGTTGCGTAATGTCATACTTTACTACTGTATCACTTAGTGATGGCAATTCCTGTCCTTATTGCCATCTTAACCTGAGGACGACCCGTACCACAAAGAATGCTTTGTAAGGCAAGCAGAAACCATGGTCAATTTTTTTGTCACCAAATGAACACAAGGGCACCTTCCATATTCCAGATTATACATGAATTATATGTGAACACACATTCCAGATTATACGTGAGTGGTTTTCTTCATTAGAAGAATGCTAACTATTAAGGAGTCTGTTCATTAAATTACGTGATGTGCAAGAGCCGACACAGTTCCGAGCTCCTTTGAAATGAATGCAAGTACTATACAGCACCAACTTAATTCTTCAGATGCATTAATATAAAATGCTATTTTACCACAGACACTTGCCTTGTATTTCCCTTGATCACATCCACACAATGTGCTTTCCATGGTGTAACTTCTTTGAACACCTATCTCTCTCCACACTACAACGCGTGCCGTAGATTCCTTTGATTTTTCCACGACAAAACTGCAGCTGTTCATACAGAATGCTGGGGCTGTCTGGCTCAGAATCTTAGGGAGAGTCTGCCAGAAAGAAGCAACAACAAACATTATAGAAAAACTCTGTGGCTTGTATATCTTTAAAGTATAAATTTGGGTGTCACAGATCTGCAGAATACTACAGAGATCTCCCTCTGAATGAGAAGGGAATACATTGCATGTCAGAGGAAGTACAGGTTACAAAGCAGTTCTGCATGGAGAGTGCAGAACCAAAGATGGAATAACTCTGATATCAGAAAGCTTCTAAGTGCAGTCTGTCTAGATACTGGAAAATCTATGGACTTTGTAATGGCATGGCTTTTTTTTTTTTGAAGATTTCTGAAAATGCTTTTTCTTCACACAGCACATTAATTAACCTCTGAAATTTGTTACCACAAGATGTGCTGATAGCGACTAACATAGATGACTCTAAAAGGGGATTAGACTGAGGACAGGCATATCAAGGATTATTAGCCTTGAAGACTTAAAGTTACTTCTGAGTTGGAGAAGGTAGTCATCTAAATGCCATATGTAGAGAAACAAATATGAATCCCTTTCCAGCTTATAAGCATATGACTAAACAAAGTGAGGCCAAAATGCCAGGCTAGAATGAGTCTTTCCTTTTTCCTCCATGCTAGATGAACACTATTCAATTAATGACTTACACAATGTTGAATTAATATGTGAAACTGATGTACACTGAATCAAATGTTAGTTCATCTATCTCAGTCATTTCCTGACTATTCAAGCTCTGCCAGCAATTAGATACTGATTTTATCATGCCATTATAAATTCATTAGCCTTTGGGGTGTCTTTGCTAGGTTACTGTAATCTGATTATTCATGGTACTGAAGGCATTGCAGTTTCAAATGAAAAGCTCTGGAATATAAAACAAATACTCTGAGCTGAGTTTTAGTAATGTTCCCAAATTAATTTTCTTTAAATACTAATCAGAATTTGACCTCTGTCTACAACAATACTACTAGCAAACTATTATTCAGTGGAAAATAGTACAATAAAAGAAACACAAACCATAAATCCTATGCATATATCTGCATGCATACACAAACAAACATCTACTTACCCTATAGCCAAGGTCTTCAATCAGATCACAAGAGGCAGCACTAACATTAGTATGCCATATTGTTTCCTTGATGCTACAGCCATACATAAATACATTTTTCTTGCGAGAATGACCATGATAGTCACAAAAAACCTATACAAAGGTATTTTTCAAATATTAAAGATGCACATTCAACATAAAACACAATTCAGATATAACAATCCATATCTGATAAATAACCATTTATCTAGAAACCACTAATGGATATGTTAATTTAAATTAATATTATTAACTTTTTTAAAAAGAATTTTAATAAACAATTTAGATCAAGCTTGTCATGAATTTCTTGAAGAATATAATTTCAGGGGTTTAAATGTGAATTTACAGCTTAAAGTATTCTACACCATTAATAAAGACATATTTTGTTTAATTTTAAAGAAAATTGATTTAAAAATCAAGTCAGGAAATGGTACGTAGTATTGTTTGTTTACATATCTACCTCTTTCACATTTTAATGGTCACTCATTGCAACTAATTTCATTATTACTAATTTTTCTTCAGCACAGTTCTAATACAGCACAGTGATATGGGCAAGGCGGCAATTCTTTAAGCAACGCTTTTACAAAGAATTAAAGTTCAGGGCGTGTCAAACTGGCCACAGCTTACTCCCTAGGAAAGAACGACCCTTGACTCCATAGGTGTTAGAGAAAGGGTACTTTTACTAAGAGATGCTGAGTGCCGCGTGAGCAAGGCAAGCTCTAAAAGAAAACCATGCGAAAATCCCCAATGTCCAAAACCCTCCCCCTTGGGAGTAGTCCAATCAGGTTCTGTTCTGATTTTTGGGAACACGGTATCTCAGGCACTGCTACAAATTCCTTTCCCAGGACTGGTGTCCTTGAAGGCAGGCAGATGGCTCGGTCTGGCACCTCTGGTTCCCGTTAGTGTACATACTCCCCAAATTCCCACAGCATTCTTTCATACTTCCAGCACTCTTCCCCTCCCAAATGCTCCCTCCCTCCCTCCCTCCCTCCCCCGTTATGGCAGTTGCTAGCAATCTTCAAAGAAGGCCAAGTTAGGCATCTGACAGGGAATTTCAACTTCCATTACCTGCCCATCCTTTAAATGTAAAGATCACATTTTAAGTGGTTTTTCTTAACTAAGAAAATACTTGCTTACCAATGGCAAACGTTTTATAGCAGCCAAATATTGAAGCAGACCTTTGGCATGATAAATTGTGGGGTGCAGATCCAGGTTTGGGTTTTGCCACTGCCTATTCAAATCCTCCCCACTTAAGGAACAGCGATGACTATAAAACAAAAATTAAAAAAGTTTTCTATTATAATTATTTCATTCTCCAAGAAAAATGAATGTTAAAATTTGTGTGGATGTTAATGATTTCACTGCAAGTGTATTAATGTAAAGGAAATTCTTCTAAAGCTGGGATGTTCAATCTTGGCAACTTTAAGACCTGTGGACTTCAACTCTCAGAATTCTCCAACCAGCATGTCTACAGGTCTTAAAGTTTCCAAGGTTGGACACTCTTGATCTCATTTACTGTTTCAAGCATTTAATATTTTAAATTAGCTAAACTGAATTAAATTGGTGGAAAGAAAAAGCTAACATGTATACTTTTGTCAAACCACCCTTGACATATGGCCCCACAGTAGACACAGTTTGAAATTGTGAATAGGAGAAAATAGTTTTTCAGAAGTGTCATTGATTTATTTTCTAGGTTTCTACCAATTTTATGGTTTTTTCCCTTTGTTTTTGTATTATAGCTGGAGTAGCATTTCACAAAATGCTCATGTGCAAAAAAAGTTATCCATTATCTCATCAGTCTTACGTTCAGACTGACTGAAGTTTAGAATAGAAACAGTGAAATCGCAGGACCTTTATAATGTTTACTTGATCTCACTGGGTATACCCTAAGCATTACTAAATCTGGATTTACCCTATCATTTTTAATATCACAAACTGCATTGTTCTGAAGATGTTTGATCTACTTTAAAAAGTCAACTGAAACCCTCTATTACGTAACATTGAAAATAAGTCACCTCTTTAATTCTCACAGTGATTTAGATTCTGAATAAAAGCTTTAAAGATTATTGATCCAAATGAATTGTGTCATGTAGCTTTCCATGAAGTTTAAATCAGAGAGATAAATGCTTTTTGATTGTGTGAGGGTCAAAGCATGATACAGCAAGAGATATTTACATCATGTAAATGAAAGAAACACTAGTCCTTTGATTCTGTAGAAAACAAACAAGAAAGTGGTTTTCCTCAGCATTATAAATGAAGTGAGGCCATTTCAGGATAAGAGAAACTCTGCTGGACATTGTCAAAGTCCTGCAGCTGAGGCTTCTTCCTTAGAACTGAACAGTTCGTTATTACTTTTAAATAAAAGACAGCTGTGTTAAGTGTAGCAGACTTGGCTGAAATCAGTCTAATAGCATGAGGGATAGAATACTTGGCTTCAGTCAGCCCAGGGTAGAAATTATGCAGAGGATAAATCCCATTGAATTTGAGCAAAATATACAAAGGATTATACTTAAATCTTAGAGCTATTAATACAATATAGGAGCAACATCCATGGGAATTCTACAGATTCAAGAGTAAAAATGTCCTTCATATTAACTGTTACTTGCCTAGATAGACATTATCTCTTACTGAAATTCTCCAATTTAGCTGAAATTCTTTTTATTGTGACAAGCCTCACACAATGACAGAATAATTAACTTCTCTGGACTACCTGTTATTGACAAAGGAAGCAGACTGTACTAAGAGGAATTTCCTTGAGGAATTGTTAGTATCTTTTGCCCGTTGAAGTCAGCCTTTACTGGAGATGTGACTGGAACTTTCTATGTGTTCTTGGGATTTAATAGAAAACTCAGTACAAAACATGATTTCAGATTTTTTTTTTAATTAAACAAACAGGCAGCATCCTGGTTTGCTTTACCAGACAAGATTTACAACCATATAGTAATTTATAACCAGAATGCTCATTCCACTGCTCCCTCCTCCCTTTGCCCATCCAAAGATAAGCAAGGCGGCTTGAGATTTTTCTGCAATGGAACTGAACTTTTGTCTATTCAATTGTGCAGCCCCAAGCTTCCCTATGCATATTTATGCTTTATATTTATTACTCTTAATGTGTATTGTTCCTTTGTAGTTCTAAAAACTACTGCTATCTAGAATCAAAGAAAGGGTTTAAAAATGCTGACAGCAATTTCTCCCTGTTTAGCAGTTGACTAGTAAACCTCTTATTTTCTGTCATCTTCAACCCTCATCAGAGATCATCTGCAAAAAGTGGACTAAGTCCTATGATACCTCCTTCTCTTTGGCTTTGCTACACTTTTCTGGGTCATGCCAACATGTGCTTCAGATGTGTTCCTCCATCCCGTTAACAGTGTAACACTACGCTGTCCATTATAGGATTGCCAGCTGTTTATAAGCATTCTGTCAGAATAACTATGCAGACAAATCAAGAAATCAACTCCATAGGAAAGCTAAAATGTGTTAATACTGTATGGCTATACTAATATAATATTCTGAGTCCAGTTGTGCTTTATTTCCCACCTATCCACCTCCATTCTCATGTGAATTAGGGAGATTGTGTTTGAGCCTTTTGCTTGTTTGGAGCTTAAGCCACATTTTCCCCCTTATCTCTTTGGTAACAGATCTGGCCTATCAAGATTGTTTTCTTTACTCTCTAACTTTTCCAAGACCAAGCCAATGTCCAACAGCCACCACTGTCTAGACCAACATTTCTCAATCTTGATAACTTTAAGATATGTGGACTTCAACTTCCAGAATTCCACAGCCTCCTAGTGAGATGGGAGGCCTTTAAGTTGAAGGAAGGAAGGAAGGAAGGAAGGAAGGAAGGAAGGAAGGAAGGAAGGAAGGAAGGAAGGAAGGAAGGAAGGAAGGAAGGAAGGAAGGAAGGAAGGAAGGAAGGAAGGAAGGAAGGAAGGAAGGAAGGAAGGAAGGAAGGAATAACTCAGTTTGCATTGGTCTCTCCAGTATATACACTTTACAGTCCTTTGGTAATTTTAACACTCACTTCTGATGCCAACTGCATAGCACTTGTTCCTCTTATAGAATTGAACTCCTAAATTTAGTATTCCTTATTGGCTAAGTAGTAAAAAGCACCTTTTCATTTTCCTACATTGGTACATGAAAAAACAGCAGGAAGCCATCCCTGAATGCAGGTTGTCAGAAGGAGGAACAGTAACAACACTGCGCTTAATAATAGACTTCCGGTGGCAGGCGACTTCGCTGGACGCAGCTGTTTGCTGCTCCCGCCTGTTTCCGCGTAAAAGCCGTTTTGACAGCCTGCATCAGCTGTCAAACGGCCTGATACCTTTCCCCTGGGCATAGGGGGATAGGTGAGCTGCCCGAGGTAGGAGTTGAGTTCCCGAGTCGTCCCTTGTGGACGATGTAGGTGAGAACT